AAGTACAGCTTTTGTGTGTTAAGTATATGCATGTGGGGAAAAGTTACTATAGTATTTCTTTTTATCTATAAAAATAGTTTTTATAGTTTTCAAATCTCATTTTCTTTGAAGTAGCTCTGAGAAATTTCAGGGGAAATGGGAACATTAATTTTCCTGCCTCTGTTTTATAACTCAATGTGAGTTAATCTTGTGGGTATCATAAAGAAGGAGTGCTGTCACTGCTAATTGGTATTATAAAAAAATCTTTTTTTTTTTTTTTTTTCAAGACAGTGTCTCACTCTTGTCACCCTGGGGAGAGTGCAGGGGATTCAGGCAACTGCACCTGCAACTTAGAAATTCCAGGCTTAACTGAGCCTCCTAGAACTCCTGGGCTTAAGTGAGCCTCCTGTTTCATCACCCTGAGTAGTGGGACTACAGGCTACCACACCTGGCTAATTTTTTTCTATTTTTGGTAGAGCTGGGGATCTTTTGGTCAGGCTGTTGTTGAACTTCTGACCTCAAATGATGCTCCTACCTCAGTATTCTGGACTGCTAGGATTACAGGGGTGAGCCAGTGGACCCAGCATAAGTGATAATATCTTTTAACAGATGTGATTTTGTTTCCCCCTGTTTAGCTGGCCCGGGCCAGGTTCAAACCCACCATCCTCAGTTCGCCTGTAGCACATAACCACTGTGCTCCGGGCGCCGAGCCAACCCCATGTAACATAGCTACTTGAAGGTGTTGTCTTCTACCTTCGTCATTGCGCCTCTCACGCAGCCCCCTTCCTTGCTAGCTCAGTGATTTGCACATAGTTGATCATTAGTAAATACTAGCTGATTGATTTTGATCTGCTATACATTCTTATTTCTCTAGTCCATAGAAAAAAATATACTACAGTATTTCATAATTTGCTATTTTGAGGAAGTTTTGAATTTAAGACTTGGAGTATGAAAGCTAACTAGGAATGGACAGTGCACGCGACCTATCCATTGATACTTTCCATTCTCATGGCCAAGTAGCTCACACCTGTAATCCTAGCATTCTGGGAGGCTGAGGTGAGTGGATTGTTTGAGGTTAGGAGTTTGAGATCAGCCTGAGCAAGAGTGAGACTCTGGGAGGCTGAGGTGAGTGGATTGTTTGAGGTTAGGAGTTTGAGATCAGCCTGAGCAAGAGTGAGACCCTATGTCTAAAAAAATAGCTGGGCATTGGCCTGTAGTCTCAACTACTAGGGAGGCTGAGGCAGTGAGGCAAGAGGATCGCTTCAGATGAGGAGTTTGAGGTTGCTGTGAGCTCTGAAGCCACGGCACTTTGCCCAGGGTGAGACTCTGTCTCTTATTTATTTATTTATTTATTTATTTTTTAGAGACAGAGTCTCACTTTGTCTCCCTCAGTAGAGAGCTGTGGCATCACAGCTCACAGCAACCTCCAGCTCTTGGGCTTAGGTGATTCTCTTGCTTCAGCCTCCCGAGTAGCTGGGACCACAGGTGCCCGCCACAATGCCCAGCTATTTTTTGTTGCAATTTGGCCTGGGCCAGGTTTGAACCCGCCACCCTCAGTATATGGGGCTGTCACCCTACCCACTGAGCCACAGGCACCTCCCAAGACTCTGTCTCTTAAAAAAAAAAAAAGATACTTTTTACTTTTGCTTTTCTAAATTAATTTAGAGTAGTTTTCTGATTGGTATTAGTTTTCTGGTTAAAATTTGACTGTGTTATTTGTAATGTTGCCAGAAAACATTAAAACATCTTGCCAAAAAGAATGTTTGCTTTTTCTATCTTTGGAATATGTTAGAAGTACTAATCTGGCAGTTCTTTTAGTTGGTTTCTTAAAATTATAGTCCTTTTCATCAATATAGGATTTAGGATAACTCTGTCTCATTTGATCATAGTATCACTTAGTGCCCCATATATCTTTAGCTTGCTTGCTGTTAACTTTGTCACCTGAGGACATAACTTTGATTTAGCCCAAGTTCCATGCTCTACTTTGCTGCTGTATTAAAGCTCATTTGCTGGGAAAAGCCTAGTCTCACCAATTCTTCCAGATTTCAGCTAATTTCATTTGTGTATTTATTATTACCAAGATGCTATGTGTTTATTCAAAATTATTTAAACATTCAGCAAGTATTGAGATGCCTTCTACTAAATGCCATACGTTGTCTTAGATGAGCAAAGAATAAGCTGTCTATCCTCATGAAGCTTACAGTTCAGTAGGAGAGTACCAGATAAGCCTTTCGAGACTTAAGTTTGGAGAATCCAATTTTGATGAGGAAGTCAAGGGAAGGCTTCATAAAGGAGGTGAATCAAACTGAAACTCAAAAGGTTGAAATTTAGTTAGGATACTTTGGTTCTAGGACAAGAACAATACTGGCAAATGTGATGAGCTGTTGCCAAAAAAACTCTAGTCATCTGAGGCTGAATGGCTGGAGAGATGGATAAGGTCAGATATTTGTAGGCCACAATACGGAATACATTCTGTGTGTGTATAACAGCAACTGAAGTAAACTGTGGGAAAGTGCACAAGTATATAACTTGATGAATTTTCACAAACTAAGCATACTTGTATGTCAAGTGCTCAGATAGAAAAAAACAGAACATTACTACCACCCCAGAAGCTTCCCCTTTGTGCTTTCTTTCAACCACTTCCTGACTTCTAATATTCCGAAGGTCTCTGTGAAAGCTTTGAGACAGACTATATTATGATCCATTATTTCACTTCCAAGAAACAGTCAACGGCAGCATCCTTTCTGATTTACCTGTGTAAATTGCAACTTGCTTTGCTTATCGGTGTTGCTGGGAGGGCCTAATTTGTCTCCATCTGTGGAGGATGGAGGATGAGCAAGTGGAGGCAAGTCTAGGCACATTTCTGACATTGTTACTGGTGATGAAACCCGGATTCACCAGTTTGATCTAAAGAATAAATATTAATTAATAGGCTCAGCACCTGTATCTCAGCAGCTAGGGTGCCAGCCATATACACTGGAGCTGGCGGGTTCAAATCCAGCCCGGGCCTGCCAAACAACAATGACAACTGCAACAAAGAAAATAGCCAAGCATTGTGGCAGGCACCTGTAGTCTGAGCTACTTGGGAGGCTGAGGCAAGAGAATCGCTTAAGTCCAAGAGTTGGAGGTTGCTGTGAGCTGTGATGCCATGGCACTCTACTCTGTCTCCAAAAAAAAAAAAAAAAAAAAAACTATCAATAGTGTGGATTTTTCCACATAAAAATTCACCAACAAAAGTGGCCCCAAAGTGTAAGAAAGAAAATGGTGGAAACTTTCTTTTCCAAAAGTGGGTTATGTTGCATCTGTTCCTCTGGAGGAAAAATGAGTTACTACTTAGTGGCACATAACAGTATGTCTACCAAAAGTTTCAGAAAGCTTCAAGGAACAATGGCCAAGGACAGGTCTGTAGGGGACCATCTTGTACCTTGACAGTACGTCTGCCCTCACAGCAATTTGGTTCCTAGAGTCCAAGGAGGTTAAATTTATGACTCATCCCTCAGGCCCCATGTGATTATTTCCTGTTCTCTGCAGTAAAAAATTGCATGCTTGGAAGAAGGTTCTACAGCTCTGAAATAGCTGTTCACACCTATGAAAGTAAGCTTATATCATTTGAAGAAAATGAGTGGAAAGAGTGTTTTCAAAAATGGCTTTATAGAATACAAATTGTATGGAATATTCTTATTATTTTGAGAAAATATAGTAATCAAAATGATTTTATGTTTTTTAATTTTTGTGTATCAAAATTTTTGTAGTATCCTTTGTATAATGTATGTCACATGGTTTTGGCTTATTGTATATGTGTAATCATACAGTATGTATTCCTTTTGTGTCTGGCCTTCACTTGACATTATGTGTTTGAGATTCATCCTTGTTTGTATGTAGTTATCTCTCTATAAGTCTGTTGCTGTTTGCTGTTCCTGTGATATCAATATGTATTAAGATTTATTCTCTGATTCATTGACATTTGGATTGTTTGAGGCTTTTTGAACAATGCTGTTATGAACATTCTTTTTCTTTTTTTTTTTAAAGAGACAGTTTCATTTTATTGCCCTCGGTAGAGTGCTATGGTGTCACAGCTCACAGCAACCTCCAGCTCTTGAGCTTAAATGATTCTCTTGCCTCAGCCTCCTGAGTAGCTGGGACTACAGGGGCCTGCCACAATGCCCGGCTATTTTTTTTGTTGCAGTTTGGCTGGGGCCAGGTTCGAACCCACCACCCTCGGTATATGGGGCCGGCATCCTATTCACTGAGCCACAGGCGCTGCCCAGTTATGAACATTCTTATAGTTGTCTCTTGGTTCAGGTATATGAGTTTATGTCTAGAATATATACCTTGGGGTAGAATTGGTTAGGTTACAGGATATGTACATTTTCAACTTTACTAGACAGTGCCCAACTATTTTCTAAACTTGCTGTTACAATTTATACACCTGCTAGTGCATTGAAGGATTTTTTAAAAAGAAATGATGCCCGATTTATGTTTTTAAAAAATCACTTTTGCTGTTGTGCAGGGCAAAGTAAGGGATATGGGATGACACAGGAAATTGTTCTCTGTATAAATTTAAAAAGACTAGAAGCATAGCATGCTTGAATTTGTTTAGTGTTTTGTCTTTTTTTGTGGTAGACACATTACATGAAATTCACTATCACTAAACTTGTACAGTATTTTTTTTTTTTTTTTAGAGACAGTCTCACTTTATTGCCCTTGGTAGAGTGCCGTGGCGTCACACCTAACAGCAACCTCCAACTCCTGGGCTTAGGCAATTCTCTTGCCTGAGCCTCCTGAGTAGCTAGGACTACAGGCACCCACCACAACATCCAGCTAAACTTGTATGGTATTTTTAACTATACATATCGTTATACTCAAATTAGTTCAATTTTGATGTAGTATTTGATAGAAGTTCTTGTTATTTTCTTGTAAACTTACAGACGTGCAGTCTAATGGTAGGTTATAGGTAATTAAATTTGGATTACAAAATGTAGTGACTAAACATAATTATGAGCATTTTCATTTTATTTCAGAGTTTTCTTGGAGGCTTTTTCGGTCCAATTTGCGAGATTGATATTGTCCTTAATGATGGAGAAACCAGAAAAATGGCAGAAATGAAAACTGAAGATGGCAAAGTGGAAAAACACTATCTCTTCTATGATGGAGAATCTGTTTCAGGGAAGGTAAATCTTTTGCTTGGCAAATTACCCGATTATAGGATATTAGAATAAGTCATCAGCTGTGTTTTTCCTAAATTTGAACAATTTTATTAGAGTTGGAAATTTTTTTCCTGAAGGTCAGTTAAAATCCTTGATTGATTAAAATGTTTATAGGAAAGATTCTTACTCAGGAAGGCTTTCGGGACAGAGTCTCTGAATTTCATGTATTATTTTCTGTTTGTGACTATGTGCATCTGTCTGGTTCAGTTTCTCCAGAATCGGGCTGTGATCCACCCAAAATTTATTTCTGTTGTCTGTTGATCTCATTCCTTGTTACTCTGTGGAGGACTTAAGTACTTTTAGAATGTATCTATGCATGGTCAGATACATTTATGATCTTTCTATAAGGTTTTACTTTCCCCCCCTTATTTTAGGGGCTATGATCAATACTCATTATTCTGTGATATTGGAGAATGGTGATAACAGACACAAGCCACAAAACATTTCAAATAATTTTGAAAATACAAAAGATTAGGATATTCTCTCCTTTGCTTGTTAAAGTAACATATAATTGTGGTAGATAGTTTGAGAAAATAAAATATGTATAGTCTTATGTGGAAATAATGTACTGTTAATATTTAGGTGTGTTTCCTTCTTATCTCCCTGCATCAATTAATGATTTTATATATATATGCACACATATATACACTATCGTGCTTGTACATATACCTGTATGTGTAGGTATAGTATATTAAGTATACTTTTTCCCAGTTGTTGGATACTTAAGTAGTTTCTGGCTTTTGGATGGCTTTTAGTATACTATTGTATCTTTGGCAATAAGGACATCATATACATATATTTTTCTGTAGATTTCTGTAGGATAAGATTATTTCCTTAGAATACATTCCTGGAAGTGAGTTGCTGGGCCAAAAGACTTGAATATTTGAAGGTTTTTAAACACATTTATCTGGAAAATTTTTTTATATCAAATTATGTGTCCACTTATAACAGTAGTTCGCAACCTTTCTAATGCTGAGGCCCTTTAATACAGTTCCTGTGAGTCGCAACCCACAGGTTGAGAACCACTGACTTACAGGGTCTTGTTTCACCCAAAGCAGCACTCAATCTGATCTCTTTAATACTTGCTATTTTGAAAGGCAAAAATGATCTTATTTTAGTTTGCATTTCTTTGGTTACCAAATAGTTTGAACCTTGGTTTATCAACTGTTCAAGATTATTTTTTCCTGCATTGTCTGTTCGGGTCCTTTGCCAAGTTACCAGTTGGGTTTTTAGTCTTGTATCTGAAAGTGAATTTTTTGGTTTTCAACTTTACTTCCCTGGTACTCTTCCTTTAAAAAAGATGGAAAGATTAGCGGTGCCTATGGCTCAGTGAATAGGGCACCGGCCCCATATACTGAGGGTAGTGGGTTCAAACCTGGCCCCGGCCGAACTGCAACAAAAAATAGCTGGGTGTTGTGGTAGACACGTGTAGTCCCAGCTACTCGGGAGGCTGAGACAAGAGAATCGCCTAAGCCCAGGAGTTGGAGGTTGATGTGAGCTGTGATGCCATAGCACTCTACCGAGGGCAATAAAGTGAGACTGTGTCTCTAAAAAAAAAGATGGAGAGAAAGAAAGGCATAGGCTTGGTGTCCATAGCTCAGTGGTTAGGGCGCTGGCCACATACTCCGGGGCTGGTAGGTTCGAATCCGACCTGGGCCTGCTAAACAACAATGACAACTACAACAACAACAACAAAAATAGCCAGGCATTGTGGCGGGTGTCTGTAGTCCCATCTACTTGGGAGGCTGAGGCAAGAGAGTTGCTTAAGTCCAAGAGTTTGAGGTTGCTGTGAGCTGTGACGCCTTGGCACTCTACCAAGGGCAACGTAGTAAGACTCTATCTCCAAAAAAAGAAGAAAGAGGCGTAAAGGAGAGCAGATAGGGATCATCAAAAGGATGGAACAAGGCTAGGTGTAGTGGCTCACGCCCCTAACACTCTGGGAGACCAAGACAAGAAGATTGCTTGATCTTAAGAGATTGAGAGAAGCCTGAGCAAGAGCAAAACCCCATCTCTACAAAAAATAGAAAAATTTGGCTTGGAGCCTGTGGCTCAAGGTGCTAAGGCACCATCCACATATACCTGAGCTGGCAGGTTCGAATCCGGCCTGGGCCCACCAAACAGCAATGACGGCTGCAACCAAAAAATAGCTAGGTGTTGTGGTGGGCCCCTGTAGTCCCAGCTACTTGGGAGGTGGAGGCAGGAAAATCACTTGAGCCCAGGAGTTGGAGGTTGCTGTGAGTTGTGATGCCACAGCACTCTATCCAGGGTGATAGTTTAAGGCTCTGTCTCAAAAAAAAAAAAAAAAAGAAAGAAAGAAAAAGTAGCCAGATGTGGTTGCGTGTGCCTACAGTCTTAGCTGCTGAGGAGACCGAGGCAGGAGGATTGCTTGAGCCAGGAATGATGCTGCCATTGTACTCTACCTGGGACGACAGAGTAAGATTCAAAAAAATAAAACAAAAGGATATAGAGTGGTGCCTGTGGCTCAGTGAGTAGGGCACTGGCCCCATATACTGAGGGTGGTGGGTTCAAACCTGGCCTGGCCAAACTGCAACAAAAAATACCCGGACATTGTGGCAGGTGCCTGTAGTCCCAGCTACTCGGGAGTCTGAGACAAGAGAATCACCTAAGCCCAAGAGCTGGAAGTTGCTGTGCGCTGTGATGCCATGGCACTCTACTGTGGGCAATCAAGTGAGACTATCTCTAAAAAAAAAGGGTGGGGCTCAGCACCCATAACACAGTGGTTAGAGTGCCAGCCACATGCACAGAGGCTGACGGGTTTGAGTCCAACCTGGGCCTACTAAACAACAATAACAACTGCAACAAAAAATTAGCTGGGAGTTGTGGCAGGTGCCTATAGTCCTAGCTATTTGGGAGGCTGAGGCAAGAGAATTGCTTAAACCAAAAACTGGAGGTTGCCGTGAGCTGTGATGTCATGGCACTCTACCCAGAGTGACAAAGTGAGACTCTGTCTCAAAATAAAAAAAAGAGTGGAACATGTCAAATGAAAGAATGTATTGTTTGGCCTCTGGAAAAGACAGCTTATTAATGGATTGGGTAGGAATACAGTCTAATCTTCATTCTAGGGAGAGATTGAACTTGCTAGTATCTTAGAAATTTCATTCATAGGCAGGGCAAGTAAGTATCTCTCCTGCTAAGTTGTAAGCTCTTTAAGATCGGGGATCAGAGTGTTCTGTAGGTTCCTTAAAATATGGTGTTAATTATATAACAGGCTTTCACTAAATATTTATTTTATTTATTTACTGTTCTTATAGTTTTACTGTTTACTGTTTTTAGTCTAGTAGAGAATATTCCCTGTCTAGTTCAAAGTAATCTTCGTATCATGTGGGCCAGTTTAAAGTTATAATTTAAAAAAAAAGTTATAATTCAGAATTGCTAGAAATCATATATAGACCTAATTAATTATTACATATTGTTTTTTAAAAAAATGATCAAATCTCTTACAGGTAAATTTTTTCTGTTCAAAAATTATGTACCTTGAATCTGTTTATTGGCCTGAGATTTTTTTTATTTTTAACTTTTTTATTATATAAAACCCATGTACAAAACCACACAAAGTAATTAGAAGGTATATTTTCTTGTAATTACCAATTAAGTCAAGAAATAGAACTTTGTGAGCTACTCCATGTGTCCTATCCCAATCATAGACGACCCCTTCCCACAAAAGTAACCACCATGCTGACTTTTACAGTAATAAACTTTCCTGTTCTTATATCTGTCTTTCCCCCTTCCCTCCCTTTCCTTCCCCTCTCCTCCTGTCAAGATAGAGTCTTCAAACATAAAATTTATCTATTTTAAGTATACTTAAAATTGAAGGTAAATTTACAGATTTGTACAACCATCCCTATTATCTAAACAAAAAAATCCCTGTATCATTAGCAGTCACTCTCCGTCCCCTCCGTCTAGTCCCTGACAACCACTAATCTACTTTCTAATTCTATGAACTTACCCATTCTGGACATTTTATATAAATGGAGTAAAATGTGTGATCTTTCGTATCTGATTTCTTTCACTTAATATGTTTTTGAGGTTCATCCATACTGTAGCATTTGTTATATTTCATTTTTTAAATTGCTGATTAGTATTCCATTTTATGGCTAATACCATATTTTATTTATCTGCTCACCAGTTGATGGGTGTTTGGAATGTTTCCACTTTGGGGCTGTTTTAACATTTGCGTACTAGTTTTTCTGTGGGCCTATGTTTTCATTTTTCCTTGGTATTTATAACTAGGAGTAGAATTGCTGGGTTCTAGGTAAACTTACATTTAATTTTTTTAAGAAATTGCCGGCTCGGCGCCTGTGGCTCAAGTGGCTAAGGCGCCAGCCACATACACCTAAGGTGGTGGGTTCGAATCCCC